GTGACACCCTAATTCAGCCTGCAGGGTGCTGAGGAGACCCAGCCACAACACGCTGGACTTCTGTGAGCTCTTGTGGAGGTATGGTTTTCAGTCGGAGTTTGTGGTCACTTGTCATATGTGGGGGTTGGGGGGAGGAGAGAGGGCGGGAACCAACAACAGTGGCCAAGATGAAAGCAATAAAAATACTTGGTTATTTTTATCCAAGCTATTTTTAAATTATGTTTCCCATAAAAGGGAACTTAGGTATCTCTTTATATATTTCTGCCCACTATGACACTGCTCTAATCTTCATTTGACAGTTGGAATCTGCAGTCCTTAATATTGAAAAATTCAGCCCGTTAAAACTTGCTCGAAGTTGTGGATTCTAGCTTTTGAGGAAGGTGAGAAGGTAATCCCTACCTATGCCTCGACCAAATTAATCGCCAGTGTCCGCCACACAGCCCAGGGTTCAGCAGGGCCCTAAGAACACAGCCACCTGTGGAGCTGTGGGGTGGTGGTGCTCGTCAAGCCTCATGGGAGTTAGGAGGACTTTGCAAACATTCAAAGCTGAATTCCATGCACTCATGACAGTGCATTACAGGCGGAGGTCCCTCAGCTAACGGGAAGGAGAGGCCTAGTGGAGGTTGGAAGGCACCGGGGCAGGGAGAGACACAATGCAGCACCATGTTTGTCATTGTCAAGTTCAGAACTGCAGAGCATCCCCCATGGTGCTTTTCTGGGTATGGATAGGAGCTGGGTATGATAAAGCTTTAGTGGGAGAATGCCCTGCTTTCCCTGCTGGCCACCAGCCAGGACACTGATCAGTTCCTTTTCACATGTCTCCATCTGCAAACCTAACAGGAGTCAGTCTTATGTTTCTGAGAAAACTCCTGGACACTAAAGGACTCCCTTTGGCCATATACAGGGAGGAGAGTATATAAATTCTCCTATCACATCGATTATCTTGGTTTTATGCCTCTCCAGAACCCATGCTGGTAAAGTAAGAGCTGGAGATTTTTCTGTCAGACTCAGATGTGAAAACTAAAAGCAGGTAAGGAAAGGAGATGTTGGGGATCCATAGATCAGGTTTACCCCTGGCTTGGGATATAGCCAACAACATGACAAGACCAAGCCTAGGGTTGAGAGGACTTTGCCAAACCTTTCTGAAGTCTGATTCCCCCCACTCCGCCCCCCACCACACACACACAAAAGATCCAAAGCGATATGAGTTGAGCAAAATGTAGGTCGCCTCTTCAGTGAGGGCCTCAATCCATGAGTAAGTGCTTGGATTCTAATATTTGATCTCAATCCTGGAGCTATGTCAGAAAGCTGAACCTGGGCTAGACATGTGGGCCTGGGCTGCTAGTGTCACTTTTCAAATACTGTTGTGACCACCTTATGCTACTTAAATTCCAACTGGAGAGTTTGACTGAACAAAGGGCCAGGAAAAAGACAAAACTTGGAGGCAGACAACAGATCTGAGGCATACAGCAAGGAAAGGGAAGAAGAAAGGTCCGAACAGGGGAGGGAAGAGCACAGCACAGGAACTATGGTGATGGGTCATGGGTGATACGGTGGTGGGACAATTAGGGGAGAAATAAAATTCTGTACAAAAATGAACAACGAGTTGGAGTGATGACCTCTTCATTCAGACAGTTTGGTGTAAGATAACCTGATGAAAACACAGGAGTTCCCACCTTCTTCAGATGAAGTGAGCCATCACTTTACTTAATTGTCACCTCCCTGACTTCTGTATTAAAACTGTCCCCATATTCCAGAATTCCTAACCTTCCTTTCCTGTGTATTTACCACCTTCTAATATAGTAGAGTTTACGTTTTAATGCTTTAATTTTAATTATGACTCCCCATGAGAATAAAAGTTTCATGAGACCAGAAATTACTCCTGCTTCATTCACTGCTGATTTTCCAAGACCCAAAATTAAATTACTCAGCTCTTAATAGGCAGAGAGACCCCTCAAGTCACTTAATATATCAAGTCACTGATTTAATATATGGAGAGCTTGACTGAACAAAGGGTCAGAAAAAGACAAAACCTGCAGGCAGACCACAGACCTGAGGCATACAGCAGGGGAGGAGGGGGGCGGAGTCAAAACAGGCTCGTGGGGGGAGATTACAAGGGACTAAGGTGATGGGTCAGGGGTGACATGGTGGTGGGAGATTTAGGGGGACTGCACATGAGAGGAGAAATCAAATGTTGCACAAAAATGAGCAACAATGTAAGAAAAAAAATATATGGACAGTTTGACATAATCTGCACACTATACTGTGGTGAGGTAAAATGTAAGGTACTTTAAGCTGAAATGACCATGGATGTTGGTTTGCAAAAGGACTGAACAGTCTTGAATTTTTTACAATTTATTTTTGGCTTCCTAAATCAGAGAGAAGACTCTTAAGAAGGCTTACGAGACATCTAGAAAACAGATCTACGCAGAGAATGTTTTGTGAAGAGTAAATAAAATCAGACACATCTGATTTATTTTTCTCTCTAAATTTACAGATTAAATTAACAATGAATGAAAAATACTCTCCAGGCAAAATGAGTTTTGGGTTTCATCAAACGTGAAATGTTTTGAAAACTAGTTCAAGATGTTCATAAAACAAAGCAAGAAAAAAAATCACTACAGCAGGAAATAATTTACTCTTATGACTGGAAATATCTCATTGTATAATGCCCCCTGCAATGCAATTATGACAGCATTATATGTTAAAGGGCCAATTCCTTCTGAAAAGTTTAGTTGCCTTTTCATTTCCATCCAGCACTTGTCTAATCCACTTACATAGGTGGGGAAATGACAGTGCAGTCAACTGCACCGGTTCAATAGCAGCCAAGGTCGTCATTCCTAGCTGATACCTCTTAGTCTTCAACTTCCTGTCACCATTCCTATTTCCTTTCCTCTAATGACCCTTTTCTCCCTGATTTCTCACTCTTTTCCATTTGCTGAGCAGCATTACTGACATCTGAGCAATGTCATTACTGAAAAGGCCTTCTCTGTTGGATGGTTTTCACCCTTAAAATGGCACTGAAAAGAGTGGACAGAATGATACAAGGAAAAAAACAAGAGGTCAGAAACAAGCCTGTTCTTTGGATGCCTGTTATTGGTCATTAAAATGACTAAATTTTTCCTTTTTAACAGAAAATGAGAAGGTAGTGTCAAAGACACATGACACTTACATTCTTGGGTAGAGTCTGACTGTAAGACACTTGGTGGTGGTTGTCACAAAGGGAATTTCAGACCTGCTTCTTCTTACTATCTGGGGTAGCAGATCGGCTAGGCCCTGTTTTCTTGTTATTTCCATCTTTTTCCATCACTAGCACCCTCAAAAGCTTGAGTGTAGTGGTGACAGTATGTCCAAAAGTTTCAGCAAAAATGGGGTTGAGGTGTGAGAAAGCTGGGCCTGAGTGAGAAGAATGGAGCAGGTGTTGTCAATTTTAAAGAGGTGTCTATTTAAGGGGAAAGGTAAAACAATGACACTCCAGAAGAAAGCACAGAAAGATATTTTCATGAACTTGGAATTAAAGATTTCTTAAATAGGACACAAAAAACACTAAGAACTAGGGAAAGATCGATACATCAGACTTAATTAAAATTAAGAACTTTTTCAATGAAAGAGTGAAAATTCAAGTCACACTGGAGAAGATATTCGTAGTATCTATATTTGACAAAGGACTTAGATACAGAACATATAAATAACTCCTGAAATCAATAAGGAAGAGAAACAAAACCTGATTTTAAAAAATGGACAAAAGACCTGAGCAGGTGCATTCCCAAAGAGATTACTCAAAGACTCAACCAGCCATCAGGGAAACGAAAATCACAGCCCAATAAATTACCACCACATGCTTATCTGAATACTCACTCAAAAGACTGACAACACCAAATTCTGGTGAGAATGTACAGAAGTAGATCATTTGTAAATTGCTGGTGGGAGGTAAATTATACAACAGCTTCAGAAATCGTTTGGCATTATCTAAGTACTCGAATATGTGCAGTATACTCTCTGACCCGGTATGGCTACTTCCTCACACAGATCAGGCAGGAATAAGCAGCTATATGCTAATACCGGCACTAATTATAACAGCCCCTATTCATCAAAAACAGAATGAATAAATAATGGTATGAGCATATAATGGGTTATCAAACGATTTTAAAAATAAGCAAACTATAGCTATATATAAAAGAATGGATGAAGTTTATTAACTTTATTGTATGAAAAAAATCAGATGCAAATACTAAAGAGTTTTAAAATCACATTTATATAGAGCTCAAGTCCCAGCAAAACTAACAGCACTTAGGGATGCATACCTGTATAGAAAATTATAAGGAATTTATTTATCTTAGAGAGTAGTGAAAGGTTATGACTGGAAAGTCCTATGAAAGGTTTGGGGGAACTACAATGCTGTTCCTGGGGCGAACAATGAATGCCTGGACTTTACTTCATAATAGCTCATGAAAGCTAGTTTTTTAAATAATTTTTTAGTGGATTTTATCTCTGGGTATGATATTTCATAATGAAAAAGCTTAAGCTTATATCAGGTATCACTTCCTTGTCCAGTCTTCACAGAACAAATACTGTCCTGGTAAACTACAGCTCTTAAACTAAATGCAAACGAATCACAGGAATAGGAAACATGTGAAGGCCCACTTATGTGAACTGGTGTGAAAAGGCTTGCTTTGGGAAGATGATTTGGGAAGATGATTTAGCAAAAGCTGACTCCTTGGGGTGAAGCAACCTGTTGGGTGTACTGCTTGGGGAGTTTGTCTCCTGTGTGCAAAGAAAAAGGGACAAGCAGCACTGCATTTAGGTCTGGATCGCAGACTGGTTTTCTGTCCCATTTGCCCCTCTGAGTGCCTTTGCACAGAGTACATATAGACAGCTGGATACAGAAGTTGACAATTGCAAGCATCCAAGCTCATGCACACAGGGATGTGTGTACACTTGCTGGCACAGGACGACTGCCACCTGGCACTGGCTAGAAGTCAGTGGACATTGTCCCTTACCGCATAGCCTTCTGTTTTCTTCTGGCACCATTTCAGCAGAGCATTGCGCTTGGAGCCGCCATATTCCCGGGCCAAGGCTGCCAGAGGGTCTCTTCTTTCCACACTAGTTAGAAAGAAGACACACATTAAAGAGAATTAGTTTACAGAACCCTAAAATATATGAGAAATACCTAATTAGAAAAGCAAAAAAATCTAGCTATATATTGAGGGAGACTTTTAACCCAATCAGTAATACTAAGGATACATTTTTATTATGGTAAGAAAGAAAAATTAAATTGTGCTGCTTGGCTGTCAGGAGTCTAGAGAGAAATTTGTTTTGTTTATTTTTAAAAAGCTATCTGCTGTCACACACATCTAGCCTTGTATTTGTTTACCTAATTAAATACCATATCAGTTGAATTAAAGATATCTGTAGAAAAAATACACATTTTAGGGTTGCACCTATATCTAAACAATACATGAGAGTTAGACAGGAAGAGTATTTTAAAATATTAGATTGGCTGCTTATGGGGAGAGGGTGGGAAGAGAGACGAAGGGTGACATGATACCTGAGTTTGCTTTGGGGCTTCAACCCCCCAGTGGAGGCGCTCAGCAGTCTAGTGCTCCCGAAGCCCAGAGAAGGGGGTCTGCTCAGTGACTCAAGCGAAGGACTCTTACGGAGATAAGGGTCCGGTTTCAGGTCCTCGGTCCTTCCCTTTAGAAGATCTGTATGAACAACAACAAAATCACCTTTCCAGATGAAGAGAAATTTGACTGGTTATATACGTTTTCTTCTCAAGTACAACACAATTTTCACTTCATTATGAAGAACACATATGTATACCCAACCTTGTTTCTAGATTAAGTAATAAAAATGCAAATAGGAACAGTGTTTTTAAGAAAGTATTCTCCAGGCAGGAATGACGACTACATCATTCAGAGGGACTAATCCTTTCCTTAGTGTCAGTAGAGCATGAAATCAGGGTCCCTAAAAGCCTCATGTGCCTCACCCTGTCTCCAAAATACTTTGTTTTAATCGATGGACATGTTAAGAAGATACCTAATATAGTTACCTGGTCACAGGGGCAGTAGACAAGCTGGGAAACAAAATGATAACTATTTTACAGGAGGAAAGTCATTCTAACCACAGTGCCTGGTTCATTAAAAGTAAATAAAAACAATTAAAAAATTGTATTTATTTTTAAAATATACAATAGTTTATTTTTACATTGTTTTGTGTATTTTTCCATCTTACTTGCAATCCCCTTGGGCTTCCCATCACCAAATCACCCATGTGCCATCACAATAGTCCAGTGCATTTCCCTCCCCTCACTGTTTTTGAGCCCATTCCCCACTCTGCCCCCATAAAATGTCTCTGGTATACAGCTGTTCATCATTATCATTATTTTCTTGCCTGTTCCATTATACTCCTGCTATGAGAGAAGCCATCCGGTATTTTTCCTTTTCTTTTTGGCTTATTTCACTAAGCATGATCTTTTCCAGCTCCATCCATGTTGCTGCAAAAGACATGTGTTTCTTATTTTTGGTTGCTGAGTAATATTCCATTGTGTATTTTTACCACATCTTTTTAATACAGTCATCCATTTTTGGGCATTTGGGCTGCTTCCATGTTTTTCCAATTGTAAATAAAGCAGCAATAAACATGGGGGGTGCAGGTATCTTTTTGAATCAGTGTTTTTGTGTCTTTTGGGTAGATACCTAGGAGTGGGATTGCTGGGTCATATAGGAAAAACAATTCTTTTAAGGCTCCTCTCTGTTGTCTGTCATAAGAATCTTGAGTAATGCAACAGGCTGAATCCTCCCAAAGATATTTTTCAAAATATCAGAAGGTTGGGGGGGGAGAAGATTCACCAGAGACAGAGTGGGGAACAAAACAGGCAGATGGACTAAAAAAACACTGCTGAGGGGAGCAGCGGGTGAGACAGGAGAGGTTGCTGCCATGGGGGTCACCTCCCTGCTGCAGTGACTGGCAACAGCTTGATAGAGCTGGGACTTTAACCCTGCGCCACCAGGGAGACCCCCAGATGGTATTTCTTAAAGGACCACAAAAGTACAGAATGGCAGAAAAGTTCTGAACTCATTGGGTAACGCTCACACAGGAATCAGGAGCTCAGAGTTAAGTGACTTGCTTGATGCCACTTGACAAGCCGAACCCATGACCACCCTGCGCCATATGGCACCAGTAAACAATCATGGCAGAAAACAACATTTGTACAGCTTGTAGCCACCAATTATGGGTAGTAAGGCTAGGAGTGAGCCTAATTAGCACCAAAGAGCATAGAAAAACAGTATTTATAAGACCGAAGAGAACAGCAAAAAACAGTATTAATCCTGCTTCTGCAGCTTCTGATGACCTCAGCGTTGGCAAGGCTAGTCTAGAAGCAAGCAATTTCACCATGTAATCCTCTTAGTATGCTATTTCTTAGTAAATAGAATCTCCCTGGGGTAGACAGGTGCCTGATGGGGGCAAAGAGGCTGTTGTCAAAGAACTACTTATTTCAGAGCAATTGCTAACTGTGGCTCCAACCTCAGTATTTACTTGTCAATTAAAAGAGTGGTTTCTCTACAGAAAAGGCATTTTTAAAGTTGGAGGAGAAGAGAGAACACAAATACTATGATCAAAAGCTCATTGAGCACAGTTAAAAAAGCCGCAGTTAAAAAAAAAAAACACTTGGTTTGCAAAGGAATTCTGACTATTTACTGTACACACTCGTCTTGTCTCTCTGTTTTCTTATTCTCCTGCTCTTCAACCTCTATTGGTCTTGGATGCCATTTTCTTCTTCATGAAAATCATTATTGAGACTTGCGTGTTGCCCGACACAACAAATGGCATCTTGCAGTTCTTGATAACCCTTTATTGCTTTCTTCATGAGGCTGCTAATCAGAGCAATAGCCACTTCATTATCAAAAGGCAAAGTGTTAGAAAGAATTGGGACAAGTCCTATCTTGGCCACAGAGCTACACAAAATCTTGGTATGGCCTTTGTGAATCATTTAATTTAAATTAAGGGCCTGAATTTCTCATGTGTAAAATGCAGAGAATGGGCCGAGACAACCGTCACATACTTAGTGTCAATATTTATTGAAGTCTAAAGTTCTTAGTAATTCCATGAAAAGAAAACAAAATTCAGAAGGGAAAAAAGTAAAGTCATAGGGGAACAAGAACTTACAACGGCAGGGTGAAATTTATTTCACAGAAACAACTATCTTGAGAATAAACTTGACCACGTTTGACAAGTTTCTGGAGTCCCTTGTAATTCACATCATTTTATAGAAATTTTAACTCAGACAAAGGCTTTTTATCTATGTGATCTAGATTTCTGGTATTTTCTGCTTTGGAGAGGCAATAGTAAGCAATGCATTTATTGTGCTTTCTGTCTTATTTCCTCCTAACAGTGGCCATGGAGACATAAACATAAATTTCTAAGGCATAGAATCTGGACAGTGTTGACATTCTGTTGATGTTCCTTTGTTCTGGCATGTCAGCTGGTCAGCAGACAGTAGATGGGTGGTAACAGCCAGCCTATCTCTAGTGCTTACTCCACCTGGGTTGATTCATTTAACCCGTAAAGCAACCAAAGAGTGTTTTTATTTGAAAGCTGCTGACCTACAGCACAGAGGTGGAATGACTGGGCTGAGGCTGACTAGGGTGCAGTGCCGAGATTCCAACTGCACTCCTGTGTCTCCCCTTAGCTGCCCTCCTCACTGCCATCCACCAGGGGTGCAGCATTATTGAAAATATGACTCCGTGAGGACTGTGGATTACAACTACTTTCATCATCAGGATTTGAATTTTTAAAAATATATGGTGTAGCCATGCCTTTTGCAGCAACATGGATGAAGCTGGAAGGGATCATGCTTAGTGAAATAAGCCAGAAAGAAAAGGAAAAATACTGGATTGTTTCACTTATAGCAGGAGTATAACGGACCAGGCGATAAAATAATGATAATGATGAACAACTATATACCAGAGACATTTTATGGGGGTGGAGTAGGGAATGGGATCAAAAATGGGGAAGGGTAAGTGCACTGGACTATGGTGATGGCACACGGGTGAACTGGTGATGGGAAGCCCATGGGATTACAACTGAGATGGGAAAAGGCACATAACGATGTAAAAATAAACTATTATATTATTAAATATATATATATATATTTGGTGTAATAGAAGAAGAGGATTACACTCAAAGACAAAAACATCTCAGAAGAGACATTTTTAGGAATTGTGGAAGCAGCAGTCAGTATCAGATTAGCGTTTCTTCTTAAAATAGTTATTTTCCTGAGATTCAGTAAAAAACAAACAAAACCAAATCTGGTACTTCTCCCAAATGCATGCACATGGAGCAGGGCAGCAAGCAGGTAATATTTGGGATTTAGTTTTCACAGCACATCCATAGAAGATGTACAAGATGAAATTGCTTGGAATAAAATGTGACTGATTATTTTTCTAAGTTCAGTTTCATGCAAAATAAAAGGAAAAAAAGTTAATACAATAACAAAAGGAAAACTCAAAATGACTTCATCTCTAAGGTAACTTACCTGAGAGGGGAAGGTCTGGGAGATCCAGGCGTTGAGTGACGGCTTTGCTGGCTGGCCGGACACTGCCATAAGCCGAATGCCTCTAAAAAAGCCAAAGGGCACATGAGCACAGGTGGACTTGAGACCTCAGGACAGCACAGACACCGGTGTGTGGGCACATGTGGGCACACACAACACTTCCGGATCTCATCAGAATCGCCAGGGGGAGCTTTTAAGACACTTTATTTATTTGCATAAGTAGTAATTTGCAATTGGTAGGATCTTCGAAAGGAACATAAAGGACAAAGTGAAAAGAAGGTCTCCCTTTCACATCCACCAACCAGCCCTTCTTCCTGGGAGAAATCATTAATCAGCTTTGTGAGTACCTTCCTGGGATATTCTAGTAGATTCAAGTAAAAATACTGGCCTTACGCGGCCAACGAGTACATGAGAAGGTGCTCAATATCAGGGAAATGCAAGCCACGAGACTTCACCTCACCCATCAGGATGTTAAACAGAGAATAAGTGTTAGTGAGGAGCTGGTGCAGCTATGAAAATCGTGGAGAGGGTCCTCAAAAAGTTAAAAAATAAATTATGGTAGGGTCCAGCAATTGCACTTTTGGGTATTTACCCAAACAACTGAAATCAGGATCATGTACACCCACATTCACGAAAGCAGTACTCACAAGAGTCAAGAGGGAAAAACAACCTGAAGTGCACTACAGATGAATGGATGAAGAAATGTGGGATTTACATATAACTGGGTATTATTTGAACCCTAAAGGTAAAGTAATCCTGTCACATGTCACAATATGAATGAGCCTGAAGTCATTATACTAAATGGAATAAGGTCACACAAGAACAAATACTACATGATTCCACTTACATGAGGTCACTAAATTTTTCCAATTCACAGAAGCAAAAAAGTAGGCTGTGGTTGCCAGGGACTGAGGAGAGGAGGAAATGAGTGTTGCTGTTTAATGAGCACTGAGTTCCAGTCATGCAAGATCAAAAGTTCTAGAGGTTACTGTACAGTATAGTTAACAATACTGTACTGTACACGAACATGTTTTAAAGAGCATAAAGTTCATGTTTTGTGTTTTTAACCACAATTTTTTTTATAATGCATTGCAGAATACAAGTGGAAGTGATATTACTAAAGGGATATTACTTGGGGGAAAATATTGTTTAAAACACAAAGGCATTATTATGTTATGCTGTGTGAATACTGTTTTTCTTCACTTAATGTATCTTGGAAGCTCTTTCTACCCTGGGCTGAAGCTGCCCTTCACTTATTTCCTACTGGGCAGTGTCCACAGTCTATAAACACACAGAGAGGCTCCACAGCACAGAACGAAAGGACATGGCTCTGAAGCCAGGCTGTACCAAATAGCTATGTGACTCTGATCTGCCTGATTCTCTGTTTACATAAACAACAATGATACTCATAGAACCTACCCCAGAGGGCTGTTGGAAGGATTAACAAGTTAAAATCTATCCAGAATCAAAACAGAGTCTGGCAGATAGTAAATATTCAATAAGTGTTAGCTGTCTCTATTACCATAATTTATATGACTGATCCTTTAGTAATATTGGTGCTGGAAATCATAACTGGCATTGTGAACTATGTTGCAAAGACTATCTTGGCACATATGAGCACAGCGGTGAGACTTTCTGGAGCATTCTTTCTTTTAGAGGCTCCACGCAATATCATACTTACTCACCAGGACACAATATACACCCATACCCCACATAAACCTAATACCTATGGTATACAATTTCGTAAGTATTTTAAATATTGCTTCTGAAGTTGACTGGCTGAATAAAAATGATAATCAGGTCATCCCTGTCCCATTCACAATCTTGTAGAAAAGTATGCATTATTTTACCCCTCCTTATGTTTGCTCTAGATAGTTTACACTCTATCAGATTAAGGAGTTTCCCTTCTATTCCTAGTGTTTTAATAGTTTTTATCAAGAACAAGAATTGATTTTTATCAACTACATCTTCCTGTCATCTGCTCAGATGACCATGTATTTTCACTCCCCTTATAATGTGAACCACTCTGTTCCCAGCCATTAAAGTGACCTGGCATTCCCAGAATAACCACACCTGTCATCATCTTTTCCATATACCCATGCATTTGGTTTACCAATATTTTGCTCAGGACTTTCATGAGTCTGGATTTTTAATTTTCCTGTCTTTGAATGTCTGTGACAGACTTAGGGGTCAAAGCTAAGCTAGCTTCTTAAAATGAAAAAGACTACCCCCTTTTCCTGGTCTCTGCATGAGTGTATGAAAGATTAATGCATTTCCTTCTTAAATCTTTAGGGGTATTGCATGGTGAAGTCATCTGGAGCTGGTAAAGATTTTTAAAGGAAAAGTTTAAAACTCAATTTTTTTCCCACTACTTGTTTTAAAGCCATCTGAATTATTTTAAAATAGATTTTGATGATTTAATCAACACTTTCTAATTTGTTAACACAAAGTAGTAATTCATCACATTCTCTCACCATAGCTTTAATGTCTATGAGATCTTAAGTGTGCACCCCTTCAAAGATTCCTGAGAGTGGCAATTTGTGCCTTTTTATTTTGCAACAGTTCAGAAATTCATCAACTTTAATAATCTTTTAAAAGAACCAACTTCATGCAGAACTCCTTTAATAGTCCCTTTACTGAGGTATGCTGGTAGTGGAAGCTTTTCTGTTTGACTAAAAACATCTTTCTTTTGTGTCCACCTTTGAAAGGTATTTTCACTAACTGTAAAAATCTAGGTAAATAAGAATACTTAAATAATCTAATAGGAAGAAAGAAATTTTAAGCAGGAAACAAAACTGTTAAAGCCGTAACAGAAAACATGAAACTCAAAGACATAAAAAGCTCTTCAGTAGAGGATACATCAAGTTAAAAGATAACAAATAAAATAGTAGCAATCCATATGCAAACATGTAAAAACACAAACTATCAAAATGTCTTACAAAAAGGAAAAATACCAAGGACTCAAAAGGAAAACAAGCAAAGCATACAAATGGACAGACCACGTTCAAGATATAAAAGTAACTTATAAACATATGAAGAAGCACTCAATTTTATTGATGAGTTAAGATAAACAAGACATTGTTTTGTAGAAGGAAATTTACTGTCTTCAATAAAGATGCAGTTAAAAAAATCAATGTGTATTACATAGTTTTTAAAAAGTGACCTATTTCTCCAAATATTAACATTTAAAGATGTCTTTAACATACTCCTTCACTAAATTAACACATATTTATGGAGCTTCACCTTGACATGATAATGTAACAGTCATTATTCTAAATAAGAGATAAAATAGCAAGCAGAACAAATTAAAAAAATATCTGCTCCTAAGGATTCCAATGACAAAGTGAAATGAGCAAGTCAGAAAAATATGTAGTATAATTGAATATTTAAAACTTTCTCTTTCCTCCCCCTCTTTTTATGTATAAGAGAAACATCTAGGGCCCTCCCTAGTGGCACAGCAGGTTAAAGCACAGCACTAAGAAGCTAGAGCCACTTCCACATGAGTTCAATCCCTGTCTATCCCGGAGGTGACCCACATGGCACGGCAGACCTCTCTGATCCACCCACTGCTCCCCTCAGCAGTGTACTTCCTTGATCTACCTGTTCTGCTCCCCACTCTGTTTCTGGTGAATCCTCTCACTGGCCCTGCACCTCTGGCCTGTAACCTGTACCCCAGTTCTATATGTACAAATAAATAAATCTTTTTTTAAAAAAAGAAAAACATCTAGAAGGATAGACACAACAGTTCATAAACAACAGTTATTTCTGGGACTAAGTAATAAAGAAGATTCTTAACTTTTTCTCCTCTGCACTGAAACATTTTTTGAAAAGATACTTTTAAAGTTGTGTCTTCCCTGGTGGTGCAATGGGTCAGTAAGCACAGCACTGGGAAGCTATCCATAGCAACTGCAACATGAGTTTGATCCCTGATCCTGTGTCAGAGAGGTGACTCACATGGCACAGCAGATCTCTCCTGTTTGCCTGCTGCTCCCCTCAGCAATGTATTTCAGTGGATCTGCCTATTCTGTTCCCCACCCTGTTTCTGGTAACTCCTCTCATCCCCCGCACCTCTGGCCCATACCCCAGTTCTTATATGCATAAAATAAATAAATCTTTAAAAAAATAAAATAGAATAAGCACAAGAATCAAAAACTGGAAATATTCTGAATGTTAACCATCAGGAGAATGGATAAATTGAGATACAATTTTAAAATGGATAAAGTGAGTTATACAAAGGATAAATTGAGTTATACAAAGGAATACTATACAGCAAAAAGAACAAATTGCTATAATAACACCAATGAATCTCACAGATATAATGTTGAACAAAATAAGTCAATCATAAAAGAAAAGATACTATGCGATTCTATTTACAGGAAGTCCAAGATCTTATAAAACTAATCTATGGTGACACAAGTCAAATAATGGTTACTTCTAAGGGATTACTGACTGGTGGCAAGGAGAGCTATTCTACAGTGATGGAAATGGTATATACCTTATTGTCGGTTACACTGGTGTATACATATGGGAAAAATCAAGTTATATTTAAGAGGTGTGTACCTTACTATATGTGAGTTACAACCAGTGTTGTAGCTGCTGTGCTTCAGCTCCTAACGGCCAATGGTTAACTCTTCAGGAATTTTGCAAGGCAGTTTTTAAACACCATAAATTAAATTATATTAAAAGCACAAGTAATTCTTAAACCTTACTGCGCCTAAGTTATTCTACTACTGGATAGGCTTTTTATACAAACTGTATCTGTATTGCAGAAATATTAAATAAGGCACATCCCTTCTTACCTCCACATCCCCTGATGTGACAGAGATGGCTTGAAATTGGAATGTTTACACCACAGAAATTGGCAAACACTACAAGTTGGGGCTTCCCCCTACCCCCAAGTAAGGTCCTGATGTTTGTAGCTCAATAAAAATAAGTCAAACTGAGGCAGGATCTATTTTAGTTTTATTAAATGAAGTCCACTATTATCATAAAATAAATAATTATTTTATTTGGTTTTACATATAAGGTGGTAGAAAATACCTTCAAGGGTCTCTAAGAATCATCATTAGTTTTACTGAAGACTTTGAAAGTTTCATCTTACAGCAAAAAAGGAGAGTTATTAACATTGTATGAAGTTTCAAGTCTTTTTGGGATCTTGATTAGGCACCGAAAGTGTCATTTTTAATGAAGCTTCATTATCAAAATCTTAAATGTATTAGAATTATTTATTAAAAATGATGCTCAGTGTACCTTAAAAGAAAAAAAAATCAATTGGTTTTCACTTTCCTTTTGTTGTTTGCATGTAAGATAGGTATCACAAGACAATGCCACCCACACACTCAAGGCTCTGCCAATACCTGCATTGGAGAAACAGCAGCGGCTGGGGCAGTCCTCACCGGGATTCCACTGAGGGGGCTTCGGGGTGCCTTATGGACAGGAATGTTCTGTGCAGCTCCACCTGCTGAGAAAAGAGGGGGAACATTTATCCTTTGTTCTAGTTCAAAATAGGAAACAATTGTTTCTTTAGTTGTTGTTACCTTTTTGGTCACTAAAAATGTATCCCAATATACTTATAAAGTATTATGTCTGCTCTTTTATTCTTTTCTCCTCTGGATCAATGTTGAACTGTGGAATGAGAGGGAGGTGTTAAACTAAACGTGGCTTGGTCTTAAATGTGGGAGGTGAGGAAAAAGAAAATATGTAAGTAAGGAGGCACCTATACTGGGAAGAAATAAGCACTTTCTTGCACATCAATAAATTGTTAGTAATTTATTGCCATCTGCTTGGACTAAATGTACTCACTGGTGTTTCATATCTTTCACTGTATTCTAATCTTAACCTAATTTAACTGTAGGCTATCTTAGCAGAGATAATCAGATAAATCCTAGGATTAGCAATTTTTTTCAGTCTCCCAAAACAATGGGCATGTTTCCACAGCCAAGGAAGAAATATACTATTATTGTGAATACATGCACATTCTGTTCTTCTATATGTGAATTTTTCTCATATATGTAGGTATATGCATTTTCCTTATATATGTAGATATGAACTGAGGCAAATTGTGAGTCAGCCAGACACTTCTAGAGAAAGCTAGGAATGTACTAAGATCAGACATCACACGTCAGTACAAATGGTCACATGCAAAACTGAGCAAATGACAGTTTGACAGCATGTCGTAAGATGAGGATGCCAGAGTTCCAACAAGAAAGCCAAGTGCAGAGATTTCAGTTGTTTCCTAGGAGATGAAATCTCTGGCCAACTGATAATTCTCATGAAATGAGTGGGAATGCAAATAGTATTGACCTCAATCTAACAGACAGGTGAAAAGTGAATAGCAGGCGACGGAAGGGAGGAAACAATAAGAAAGATGTATGTAACCCAGAAGTTCCATCTTTGATTCACTGGGACATTAGCCAAGCTGCAGCATACCTCCTGTATATAAGTGGCTGCACTGGCTGCACGTAGCATGGTCTAGAAAGAGCCCTTGTGCTTCTATCAATGTGGGATTTGTACAAAAGAAAGACAGGTTTTGATAGGTGAGGCCACAGTTTGATTTTGAATTTTTGTTTATAAGACAAAATGATTAATTACCTGGGTGTCCCAAATCAAATGACTTGATAAGTGACTTGACGGTGGTTGCTGACTCAGAAGGTGTTGGAGATGTTCTGTTCACATAGATGCCAGACCACCGGCCAGGGGCATCGGCCTCGGAGGGCTCTGAGTCTTCATTCATAGGTCTGCATGGTAAAGAGCAAATCACATTGAAAAAGTGAAGGATGTTCCCAAGGGAAAAGAGACACAGATGAAAAAAAAGAACAGGGAGAAAAGCTAACAAATCTAGAAGAAGAGTCCCAAGTGTAAAATCCTGTTTATCAATTCTGCATCTTTAGGAAATAATATATCTATTAGATCTCTATTACTATTCAGAGATGTTTCTTGGGAATGGCTACAAATAATAAATGTATATGTAGAGTGACTTGACATTAACTCTAAATAAAAAGGATGTGAATCTACTTTGTAAACTGCTTTTTAAAAAAGGAAAGGAAAAGAAAAACACCATAGAAAGTATTCAGCTTACTGACCATGGTGGATACCAGTGACTGGCTTGTCAACAGGTATTCCAACCCCTATCTAGCATACAGAGGTTAAAAGAATGAACTCTCAGGACTCCCTGCCCTGAAGCTAGGTTTCAGAGGTAACTAGAGTTCCAGCAATCAGAAAGATGAGGGGTTCCATCCATCAGAAACCTGAATGGGGTAAGGTAGCAGGGCAAAGTGCATTCACTATGTTGAGCCAACTGTTGCAGAAACAAGATGTTTCTGGAGTTGGTAACTATGGTAGCTTTTCACCTGGACAAGCAGCTTCTTGACTTTAAAGCTCCATTCATGGCAGCAGTACCAGCTCTCCTGTAGCCCAGTTCTAGGTTGTGACTTTGGACACTTTTCCTGGAAGCTCAGCCCAGAGTTTGATAATTGTAGTCCTTCCAATTATTCTGCAAAGCCATTCACTACCTTTCTGCTTAAAACAATTACAACCTATCAAGTACAACAGAATCCTGCCAGTCAAAAAACTGCTTGCCTTCCAAGAGTGACAATGGTAATAACATATCAGAATACCCTACAATTCTACATGAGGCAAACTTTCTAGTCTCACCCAAACTTTCCTGGTAAGTTCTTAGAGTGGTTTCTATATTTCAGCACAGACTTACAGAAGAGTCTTTTAAAGACTGATTATCTGATTCAGTCTTCTCATGCACGGCTTCCTTATGAAGGGGGCTTTAACAAGTCATTTAATCTCCCTGTGAATGAGCCAAGACAAGATCTCCCAATCTTCTAACTTCTAAATGACTGCTCCTTTGATATATCAAATTGCCACGCAGTTTTGCAAGAAGATGACTAATTTATGAGAAAGGTTCAAACAGAATATTTCTGGCAGTATATTTTAATAAGGTCACTGGAAGTTTAAAATATTTATTTACTGATCTTTTTGAAATTAGGCCAGCTACTCATAAGCTTCCTGGGTTGAAATTACTTGTCCTTAATTCTTCGGGCTTTCTTCTATTGCTCTGTAGTTAATATGAACAGAATAAATTTGAGTGAAAGAGAGCATAAAACACTTAAACCACACTGTTCTACATTTTGGTCTCCAAAGGCTCTTCTTTTGGGTAAAAAAAAATCAGCAAACTGATGCCTTCTTTGGAAGAAAACATCAGATATTTCAGAAACTGGTAGGTGGTTAGATTTAAAATTTTTTTTAATTGAATGGAGGGTGGTCTTTATATTTCTCTTCCTTGTATTATAAATTATAAATTTAAGTGCAGAATATGCAGAAAGAGGATGAATCAGGTTAGATACAAACAGAAATCTATTTCTGACCCAGTCACTCTCAGGAAGGTCAGAAACAAAGAGTGTATTGTATGATTGTTCTAGGAGACGTTCTATGGCTCGCTACCTGGGGTCCTTGCAGAAACTCAGGGTATCCCAAAAAGGAAGATCATCTTTATAAATTCAACTTTATACCACCCCTTGATAATATAAGAAGAATGAAATGGAAAATCCTACAGTTTGTTGAGGTATTCTCCTCAGCTAGTTAGGCTTATTTATGACTCAAAACATCAAATAATGAAGTAGGAAGATTCATTTAGAAAAGTTACAAGAATCAATTCCCAGTACTTCTGCCTTCAAATATCCAAAGACAATATTTCAAATGTCAATCTGCTTAGCCAGAACTCCCAGAAAAGTATGAGAAAACACTGCAAGATAGTTAAGTATATTAGAAAAGTTATTGATTTAAATATCCACCATATTACATAATGCTGTGTATGTGTGTATATTAAGAATGCTATTGGTCTTACCAGTAATTTAATCATACATAGGTTTAGAATTATTTAGTATTGCTTTTAACAGTACCAACAATAAGTGGTTATGTATTTTCTCTATTCAAAATAAAAAGCAAGAATTCTCTATAGTTAACCCTTGAACAACATCTGTTTGAACTGCAGGGTCCACTTAAATGTAAACAGACAACACAAACTTGTAGCATCGATAAAACAATACACAGTATTTCTTTTTCTTATGATTTTCTTAGTAATATTTTCTTTTCTCTAATTTACTTTACTGTAAGACTAGAGTATAAAATGACATCTATAACATACAAAATGGGTAACTGGCTGCAGATGTTTCTGTCAACAGCAACTATTAGTAGTTAAGTTTGAGGAAGCCAAGCTAAGTGCAAATTTTGGACTGGGTAGGGGTGGGAGGTAGGATGATGTTGGTGCTCCTCCTTGTTGTTCTAGGTCAACTATATTCTGTAAAGGAGATTAGCAAATACCTAAGCATACAGCCAGGTATATTATAGCAAAGTATTAATTGTCAGAGTTCAGCAGACTTCTGAATTTCACTACGACTTTCAATATAAGCATATATATAAATAAACAACAGGGTATGACAGCAACTTGGTTATAAGCATTTTGATTTCAAAGTCCAACAGTAAGGACCAAAGAAATATATCATCAAAATCATGCATCAGCACTGAACTCTACAGAAATATATTCTCATACCCTACACTTCGAAGAATTCTTGCTACATAGAAAATAATGTTTTATTCCCAATTCCCTTTTAAAGAAAATAAAGATATTGGGAACTCCCTCTAATATTCTTTAAACTAGAGAGCTGTGCTTTAAAGAGCTCTCTTTAAAGAAAATCCTGGACAGCCCTCAGAGCATTCTAATGCAAATGATCTGTGACCTCAGATAGGGTTGTCTGAAGACCCAGGAATGGTTTATCCCAGACACAAGGGAACAAAGGACAGCAGCAAAAGGGCAGATCAGAAAGACATAGTACACCTGAAAGAGTACAAAGGACCAGGCAGAAATAAGCCCAGAAAGCTTGTTCCCACATTCCAGTTGTACCACACAGAGGAAACGGACACATGCAATTTCCCCCCAAAAGCACCTATTCATTCTGTAATCTATGAGTGCATCTGTGTCTCTGAATCTGTAACATAAGGTCAGCTTAATGAGCCTTCCCTCTAAGGTATGAAAAGATTTTCAGAGGATGAGGCCAAGTGAATAGATCTAAGCAAAATCTATAGACACTGATCTCAGGCAAATTTCAGGCCCCAGATATACTTTACTTATATAAGCAAGAGTTGATGGACAAAAACATGCCCTGATCTACAAAAATATTTCATAAAATGAAAAGAATTTGTTAATTTATGACAGAAAAAGAATTTTAGACAATTAATAGTATCTGCTCTGAGAATACACCAAAAATTTAAGAAAATATATAAAAGGTGGCATTCTTAACTGAAAGGCTATGTTTATAAAAGCAATTAATAAACTCATGAAAATATTTTAAGGAGAACCAGTTTGTCGAAAAGAAAGAAAGAAATGAGGGCATATTTAGAAAAGTTTCCCTGACTACAGATAAAGTGAACAATGTAAAAATGGGATTTCAATTCAGTGGGCAAAGGATGTTTTTGGTAATAAATGGTGCTGTTGTAACTGACTGTCCATCTGGAAGGAAAAGACCCATACTTTGCATAAGATTAAATGGAGAAAGGCAGATCAAATATCTGTGTCTGAGTATGTGTGTAGCAAATGAGAAAATTTAATAGTCTAGTTGTGTAAGATAAGGATAGGGCAAATCATAGACAAAAACAAAAACCCAGAGGCAGCAAAGGAAAACACTGTTTATATATTACATAATAGAAAAAAAATTCCATATAAAGACAGGAAAGCCAAAATTCCTATAATATAATGAGAAAATACACCTCCCTAAAAAAATATCTCTTTATAAACTGAAGAAAAACAGCTAAGTGAAAAAAATAAGCAAACATGCTAAACAAACAATTCTTAGAAAAATGCAATGATTAATACACATATAAAATATGCTCAAAGAAATGCAAACTAATGACTAATGCAAATTAAGATTATTTTGCTTATCAGCTTGGCAAAAATTCAGAATAATATTATCTATAGCTGCTGAAGTTGTGTATAAATAGGCGCTCACACCAAGAATAAAATGTCCTGTGTCTTAGGTAAATAATGTAGCAATATTAAAATTTAAAACACATTCTCTAATGCAGCAATCACATTTTTAAGAACCCATTCTAGAAAAATAAAAACAAAACAAGTATATAAAATTATATGAATAAGGCCCTCTCTGGTGGCGCAGCGGGTTAAAGCACAGCACTGAGAAGCTAAAGCCACTTCTGCATGAGTTCTATTCCCGCCTGCCCCGGAGGTGACCACATGGCACGGCAGACCTCTCCTGACCCGCCCGCTGCTCCCCTCAGCAGTGTACTTCGTCGATCTGCCTGTTCTGCTCCCCACTCTGTCACTGGTGAAGCCTCTCACTGCCTCTGAGCCTCTGACTTGTACCCCAGTTCTGTATGTACAAATAAATAAATCTTTAAAAAAATTATATGAATAAGGATTGCTATTATTTATTATCTGGAAAGAAAAGAAACTAGGAAATACTAAGTTTGGTGCCCACCAGTATGACAATATTTGAATATAAAAGGGTATATCCACCTTCTGAGATACCATGCAACTATTAAAATGAGTTAAATTTGTTTATGTCAACCTGAAAAGATGCCTCTGATTCATTGTCAAGTGAATACAGACATGCAGAGTACTATATATAACCCCACTCTTGAAAAAAAATGTAAAATGAATCTTATATATATTTATGAGTTAAATGAAGGTAAAGAAAAATATACATAAAGGTTAATA